GCGACCTAGCGTATGCATGGGTTTAGCAGCGTTTGAGCGATCAAGTAAGTATAGGTACTGATCTAGTGTAGGCCAGTGTTTGCCAGCGTTCCGGATAGTATGGGTAAAGGGGAGAGTAGCAGGTAGCTAGTAGCTTGGATTGGGCGTCACGTTGCGCAACCGCACCGTACAATTGCTTAAATACAGAACCATACAGTCTTAATGTACGGTGTAGCGCATTTGTTCGGTGCAGTTGCAGACACCGCAATTTACGACGCCTATTCCAGCAGTCTGCTACTCTACTACTCCCCATATAGTGTAGTTCTCTGCGGACGGTTGGGCGTGCCAGTGCGGCTGCGTTTGGCGGGGTGCCAAATCTTTCTCTACCAGTTTTTAACCCATTCGTGACAATGTCCGCCACTGGTGGTGGACACCGAAATGTCCACTTCGGACCATGTCCACCATATGTGGCGGACGGGCTTTTGATGAAATTTTTAGAAACAGTTCGAGTTCTTCGAGGAACTTTTCCCAGTGGTACAAGTCTTCATACCTTTGTTAATTTATGCAAATAGTGGACCAACGAGATCTTCAGATATAAGGGTCCCAGGCACGATTCAACTAGCAGCACCTGAGCCCAAAACCTCTAGAAAAATTTCTGCTGAAAAATTGCCGGTAGGGGTTACTCAGTGCCCCGATCACGAATGTGACGTCCGTTTCTGGCGCCGGCGGTGTTTGACGCCATTTGGCACCATTAGGCGCCACCACTTTTTTCATCAAAACCGGGGCGCCAGAATGGTGCCAGAATGGTGCCGCGCCAACTCACCACTACCTTTTTCACCAAACTTCAGGAAAAGTTACATACTAGGGCTTTTTGTTGGTCTGGTCACGAATATGACGTTCACTACAGGTCCCAGCGCCAACTGGCGCCAATGGGCGCCAATTTGGTGCTATCACCTCTTCCACCCAAATTGATGGGAACTTGGATACTAGGGTTATTCGCTGTCCTTATTATTGATATGACATTCATTTTTAGCAGGAACGTTAGCGTAGGGCACAAGGGTTATCAATGCGATGCTGAGGCTGAGCTTGCCTTAGGAGGAGGGAATCACTCCTCCTCCAAGCTACAGCCTTTTCAGAGCAGCGCTCTGCAAAGATAAAAACCAATGTCTTACTTGTAGCGTAGCGTTAAAATGGCACCGGAGGACAGACGAATGTCATTTTTGTGACCTGAGGAATAACCCCTGCACTCGATGGTTCAGTAAAAAAGGAGATTTCGGGAGCAGAAAGTTGAACAGTGCTAAAATTTTTAGTAAGGGGTCACGAGGGACCGTGTCCACCACTGGTGGCGGACACTTGCTGAGAGCTCGCAAATGCTCCGGTCCGAACGAGCCGTTTTCGAAAAACGCGCCTGGTCGCGAATGGGTTAAAACAATTTCACCGCGTCTAAATATGAAGAAAAGAAGGGTGTGGCACAGCTCGGCTCAACTATCATTACGACTTGTCTCATTCTAGAAAGACTTCCTCTCACTGCCGCGGTCGCTAAATAGACAGCTCAGACTACTACCCTCCCCTCTCGTTCCGGAAGGCATGAGACTGAAGAAGTGGGTAAACTACAGCCGCGGAAAAATAAACTTGGAACAAGCCAGTAGAAGTCGGAATTCTCTATCAAACTTTTTTTTATTTACCTTGACTTGTGCACCGAAACATAGTGGATATATTAGGTTTTTCGGAAATGAATGCGCGTTGACTTTGTCTATTTATTTCTCTTCTACTATAGGAGATTTATTTAGAAGCAGGTTTTGTCATGTAGAAGAGAGAGGTTTTTATTGCGCATCTTTTGATATATTTTTTCTATGTCTACCTTGTTTTTTTAGAAAAAAAAGTTTAGAAAATGCTCGACCAAAAATTTCGAATGCGAGCTTGTATGTGGTAAGACTTCAAGCAAGTCCTAACGACGCACTTGGGTGGACCTAATGACCCACTCGGCTCACAGGGCAGCGGGCGGACCTAGCGACACACTCGGCGAGAAAACTGGCAAAAGGCCTTTTGACCTACTTTGCCTCTCGCGGCGGATCCTAACGAACCACCCGGGGTAGGTGAAAGAGGCTCTTTTTGGCGAAGTTTTTTGCGTACAGGCGCAACAAGTCATTGCTAGTAATGGCGAGATTCATCTTTTTAGATTGACATTAGTTTGATTGTTTTTATCAATTCCAATTCCAATTTCTAATCCGTAATAAACGCCGCTAAGCAAACGCGAAGTATGTGACGGTGCAGGTTCGGCACCGCAAGGGTCAGCCAAGATGACAATAGTGAGCGAATAAAGGACTTCGCTTTAGCCCCATCAGGCAGCTTTGAAATGACTTGAAGCATGAGCCAAGGGGAAGAAGACTATCAACACGAGTGAGCACTTCAATGAATTTAGGCAAGCTTTGGGCATCGAATATCTCGTGGAGCTCCTTGTGGCAGCCGATTCGCGGGGGGGGGGGGGCACGATGATAAAGGCTTCAACCAAGTCCAGTAGTAAGCCATGGAAATTCAGAGCGCTGAATATTTTTTTCTTGTTTAATCCTCGCTATCTGCTTACCTTTCCACTTGCTTGTTGTCCTTGTTTTGCTGCTGAATAAGAGCTTCAGATCTGTATAAAACGCGATTTTGTGGCTTGTTCCAAGTTTTTCTCCCGCAGTTTTTATCCAGTCCAGCTCTGGTAACGAGTCCCTTTTTGGTTTTCGGGTTTTTTTTTTTTTCGCCGAGCCATTTGTAAGCCGCCACAGCCTCTTTGCGATCAGGTGTGAATGTGCCGAAATCGACGGATTTGGTTGCAAACCGAAACAAAGCGGAAATGACTCTGAGAACGAGCTCATAAAATACTCGGCTGTCGGCGCCGTCGCGCACTACCGTAATCCAGCGCTATGAGTGTTGATCCGGCGGCGATAAATGGCCGACCGAATGGCGACCACTAATCTCTACAATGCTAACATTACGGAATCGACATCTTTAGTGCAGTACGCATATTGTTTTTGAGCAACTGAAAAGGGTCACAAGAGAGGTGTAGTAAGATCAATGCAAGTCGTACGCTGAGGATTCCCACTGAGGGGTCGTACCTGGTCCCTTCCCCCTGGGGGGGAAGGAGGTGGACCTGTTCCCTGCAGAGAAGCGGGTCGTATCGCTGAGAATAGATTTCTTGGTGCTGACTTCTCTCATTTTCTTCATATAAACGTGCTTCATTCCCTCCACCCTTCTCGCTCGACGCTCGACTGCACTTTTCTGGGGAGAAAGGAGAACAAAGGAAAATTCAAAAAGAAGGTAAGTCATTCGAGAAGAGAGGATGGGGTTGGAGGAGAGGTGGTCGTATCAGAAAAAGGAACTGGGATCGAGCGGGTCGTATTGTGAAAAATTCCTCTCCAACGGCACGTCGTACCCTGAGTGAGATGCGCCGTGTATTTGTCTTTTGCGATGACTGGAAGTCACATATTTAAAGGTTGGTTCGTTGCCGCTCAAACCTGGAGGCTGATTATGATATAAAAACCACTTCTCTGAATATCGTGCGACATTTTTGAGCACGGCTTTTGAAGAGGCAAGCTAGAGCCAGAAGAGGTCATTACCTCTCCTGAACTGTGAATTTTCTCTTCCAAGGAAACGTCCCGACGCAATGGGCAAGTTCTCGTACAAAGGCTCAAATAGCAGCACATGTGGCCATTTGCACTAGTCAATGAAAGGCGTCTGGCCGATAAGGGAGGCTCGACCAGATGCGGGCGAGAATCAAGTGGTGCAGTGGCAGCAGAATAGACTAAGGCAACATTGTGTGCAGATATGGAAGGCGATTACATTCTAGTTCTGAGAGAACTTCAAACTCCTCTGTCATACGTGCTGTTACGGCAAGCTTGTATTCTTTGCCCGCATGGAAAAGTGACCACCGGTCTTGGTGTCGCTCATTTTGCCTGCTGAACCTCAATTCGCGTGGAAGTTTCAACACCGAGCGCCAAGCAGAGCGCTAGTCTCATCACGGAAGCAACTTACCACAATATTACATCGACGTTACTA